GTGTCTTTTTTTTTATTGCTGAAGTGTGTTGAAATTTCTTCTTCTGTATTCTACTGTACGGACTTAAATTGACTTTCCCTTCAGCCTGAGGCTTATTCATTTCACTTTTGGTGTGAAAAGGCTTTTATATTTGCCAGAAAAATAGAACTTTTTTTATTTTAAAAACAAACAAGCAAGCCCTGTCCAGATTTAAAAAGTAACGCAAAAGTAACGTAACACATTACTTTCCATAAAAAGTAACTAAGTAACGTAATTAGTTACTTTTTTATGGAGTAACGCAATATTGTAATGCATTACTTTTAAAAGTAACTTTCCCCAACACTGGGCCCTTTAACCCACAGTATCCTTTAGGCACCTTGTGCAGGTATTGTTGGTGATTGTCTTCAGCAAAGTAAAATTCAGTGTGCTTTCGGATCTCTGTGGTGATCTCACCCAGGCCTTTCTTAGTCAGAGCCTAGCAGAAAGAAGAAACAGGAACAGACACAGAGAAAGAGACGGTAAATGACGACACATTTTGACATCAAGAGAATAAACTTGATCGCTGTCTAGGGAGAAGCAGCTCATTTTGAACTGAAACACCTCTTTCTTGTGTTTGTGATGTTAAAGCCAGACAGAATGTCCAAAACTCTTTTTAAAGGGACATGAATGAAGTTCTGTCTCCCTCTAGGGGCACATCAATAAACTCCAACAGAAAATGACTTAAGGTCAAGAACAAAACACCTTTGAACATCAATCACAATATTTCTAAAGCTCACATTTAGACCTGTGGGAAGTGTCTCTACAACAGAAAAAGAGAGAAGAGCGTTTTTTTTTTGTGCTGGCTTTGAGCAATCACAAGTGTCCTTTTTGAAATGTACGTAGTTTCAGATCTCAACCCCTAGGCGGTGACAGAAGTCTGCTTCATTTACCCCGCTTCTGATTTCATGTCTAACAAAAGAGGCTGCATGTGCATCATAACACCATGAGATCCCAACAGCAGCCTGGATATCAGAAAAACAAAGATATTTTTTATTTTTACAATTCTATCTCTGTAATATAAGATTATTATTTTAGAAGGCAAAAAAGCTGACAATTTTCTTACAGGATTATTACATGGTTAAACGTGCTACAGTGAACAGGAAGACGAACACTCAGAAAAACATTGAGCCAGGTTAGCATAAAAAGAGGACCAAAAACTTGATAAGAAGAATTATTACCAGAGCAAAAAAAAAAAAA